TGTTTTCTGTCCTTCCTGGTTTTTTTCATTTTCATTTTATTTTTTTATTTTATCATTTGATGCTGTTGCATAAAGAGCCCCAGAATTGGGATGTCCTGGTTATAGAAAGAGAGTACGAGGTGCAGAAGGGGTCGGTTAGACTGTCCAAAAGGGAACTGGAGAGAGGCCCAGCCTGTAAGGGATTGGGGACTTCCATGAAGGCTTGCCGGGGCTACCCTGATTATAGCTCAATCAGGGACAAAAGGGAAAGAGAAGTGAACAGAGTTTTGGGCCTCGAACAGGAAGGTCATTCATGCAGCCCAGGGAGCACTCCCCAAAGCCAGTGTCCAGCCCCATAGAGGCAAGTCCCTCCCGGCCCCCTTGAGGCAGGACCAGGCACCTTGGGCTGGAGACCAGCTGTGCTGTCTGCCAGATGTGTGACTCTGGACTGGCTTCCTTCTTTCTGTTCAATAGGAGTGCCTATGACTGTGCCAAAGACTGTCATGAGGACAGAAGGATGTGATTTCTTGAGCACCTGTGCACGTGAGTGTTGTCACCTCCCAGAACTGGCACCTTGGAAAGTCCTCAGGCCATTAAAGGCAGTACTGATAATAACACCAGCCCCTCCTGTTAGTGCCTGTGCTAGCACTTCACTTGGAAGGTGTCACCTCCTGGGACCCAGAGGCTCCATCACTCTCCCCCTTATACAGATGGGGAAGCAGGTTTGGAGAGGTCGGGAGATGGGCTGTGCCCAGGAGAAGAAAAGGATCAGGGGGACTTGGATCTGGGAGGGGGGTTTGGAAGATGGGGAAACTGGTCCTGGAGATTCTTGAGGGAGAAGGGGCCAGATACTTTGCCCAGCTTTGTGCAAACGACCCTGCTCAGAAGATGAGGCTGAACTAGGGCCCATGTCCCCTGCCCAGTCCCTCCCCCTGTCAGCTAAATGGTCAGCCATTGCTACCCTGCTCAGAAGATGAGGCTGAACTAGGGCCCATGTCCCCTGCCCAGTCCCTCCCCCTGTGAGCTAAATGGTCAGCCATTGCTATGATGATGATGATGATGTCATATCATGTTCCTGATAATATCATTATTGTGGGCAGATGTAGCCAGCCCATGCGGACACAGAGCAGGGTCCTGGGGGCACCTCTCCCTCTCTCTTCACCTCTAGATTTGCTCAGCCCCATGCAATGCCCCCCACTCTAAGCGCACCTTAGACAGGGTTCCAGTCCTGACCCTGTGCCCTGTTCCCAGAGCCCCCCTATTCAGGACACTCTCTGGTTTCTTAGGGCCCTCACACAGCCCTTGGGAAAGCCCTGGAAGGGCAGATGCCCAGAAGTGGGTTTGGAACCTGGAAAACACCCCCTTCTATGAGCTGAGACGGGGCAGGTCATGCCAGGGTCAATTCGCACCATCTGCCCACAGGAGTGGCCACTGGTATGCCAGGGCTGTCTGGGTGTCCTGTGCTCTGGGAGTCTGGAAGTGTGTGCGTGCATGTGTTTGGTTGTGTAAATCTGCATGTCTGAGTTTCTGTGTCTGCGTATGTAGATTGTGGGTATGAGTTTTCCGTTGTGCAGGTGTTTCTGGGTGTCTCTGTGTTTTTCTCTGTGTGTCTCTGTATGTGTTTGTGTGTCTGTTTCTGACTGTGTGTCAGTTGTGCAAATCTGTGTGTGTTTGTACTCTTTTATCCATGTGTCTCTGGGTGTGTGTTTGGTGGGAGTGTCTGTTGTGTGTATTTTGTACCTCTGTGTGTGTTGGTTTTGTGCGTGAATTTGCTGCTCCTTTCCATGTTCCTCATTGTATCTGTGTGTGTGTGTCCACTGTACGTAGGGGTCTGCCCTCTGGGGCTGTGTCACGTGGCCCTGAGTGTGTGTGTTCTTCTGCTGGGGGTGTCGTTGTGTGTATCTGCAGTGTGGGTCTGTGTGTGAGCCTGTCCATGAGCTGTACACCTGAGTGCCCTGGTGAGGTCGGGGGTGGTCTGCCTGTGTGTCTCTGTGCTTGTAGTGTCTGTATATTTCCCTATGAGCACATATGTCTGTGCACCCCAGCATCAGGCAGATACTGATGGGACCTCTCCAATGGTGACCCCTAGGGGTGGGTGAGAAGGGGACACTATGTACTTCTATTTTCAGGCTGGGCCCCTTCCGCCCCTGCTCCTCCCAGCTGCTGGTGGCCCCCTGGTGATCCTGCCTCAGCCCCCAAGGATGTGGAGTGATGCTCAATTCACAGGACCCCAGACCAGGGTGGTGGGGAAGGCTTCAGGTCCAGGGGTTATACCGAGAGATGGGGGGTGTCTGGGGAGGACTCTGGGCTGGGGTCAGTCCTGGGCCCTGGGAGGGGGAGTGAGTAGGGACTTCTAGGGAGGGCTGGAGGACAGAGCTCCTGGGTCCCTGGGAAGGTATGAGTGTGTGGGGCGCCCATGGGGAGAGCTGGGCGGTGGGGCTCTGAGGTCCCTGGGCAGAGCTAGGAGAGTCTTGTGGGACTCTTGATTCCCAGAGTCTGGGTCCCTCACTCGCCCATGACAGGTTTAGGCTGGGATGTAGGTGGAGCAGCAGCATTATTGGGGGACACAAAGGCTGAAGACCCCTTGGATGGCAGACAGTGCCATCCTTGAGCCAGGGCTGACCACCTCGGACACACCCCTGCCCCGGACTCCTCGGGCCTCACTCTTCTCCAGGGCCTGGGCAGAGCCTAGCGGGGGCAGGTGCTCTGAGCCACGAGGAGTGTCCCTCCTGGACCTCTGTGTCCTGGCTATTGAATGGGTGCTTGGGGTTGCTCTCAGAGTACTGGGGCCAGGAGACAGTATGTGGCCTCGGTATATCTCAGACTGAGGATTAGGGAGAACTGCAGAGGGAAGGCGTTTAGCACAGGTTCATTCACAGAACAAATGCATAACACAAGGGTGCTGCTGGCGTTGCTGTTAGCATTTTATTACCTGCAACTCCAAGCCAAGTGCTCACTTGAGCAATCCAAAAGGAACAGAGGACTTGGGACAAAGATAGTAACTGAATTTAAGTTAAAAGAACAGTAACTTTGGAATCCTGGCACTCCTAATACACTTCCTAATCAACGCTCTTAACAATCTACCCTCACCCCCATCATC